CATCGGGCTCCCTGCTCAGCGGGAAGCCTGCTTCTCCCTCTCCCACTCCCCCTGCTTGTGTTCCCTCTCTCGCTGTCTCTCTCTCTCTCTCTGTGTCAATTAAATAAATAAAATCTTAAAAAAAAAAAAAAAAAGAAACGCATTTTAACACAGTTTAGCTTCCTGTGTTCTTAGAATTACTTTTCCCGTCATCATTAAAGTTGGCACTACTTACTACAAAAAGGCTGAAAAAAGCCTTTTGAGCTGAAGTTCAGTGGAACGGTACTCAGATAGGGTCAAGAGACATGTCCCACAAGGAGGAAAAAATGAGTAAAAAATGTATTTGTTCTCTTCTCTCCTATGGGAGTCAGTGCCTTTAGGTTTTAATAACTTATGAAATTCTAGTAAAGATGGGAGCTATAGATCATCCTATTAGGAAAAAAGATACTTGATAAAAAGCCCACGTATTTTGAAGATACTATCAGCTATTCCACAACATATTAGGGAAAAGCATAGCATTGTTTCTGGGGCAAAATGGTTTACCATACAAACAGCTTTCTGGATAAATCTATTTACTAGTGATAGCCATTAATACTATGTAGCGAAATACGCTATGCTCAGAACTAGGTCTTTGAACTCAGTATGTCACAAACTGTTAGATAAAGATTTTTTTAAAAATTAGGTGTATTTGATCAAATTACTCTGTCTAAATGGTACATAGGTTTTAAAAATAATTGAAAATAAAAAGGTTTTAAAATATTTATTTTATATCTTAGCCTTTTTAAATTTCAAGTTTTATATATGTTGGTATTTCCATTTCCTCATATGCTTACATATTAGGACAGTAATAGTTGTATAATTTATAACTAAATATCCCATTTGTGGCATCTGCTGTTTTTTTTTCTTTTAATGATGTGGTTGTATGATAAAGTTGACTCCCACATTTAAACTGTTTTCTAGATAAAAAACATTTCATGGCAGTCCTCATTTAGTGCAGGCTTCTTTACAACTCTGACAAATTACTTGTAATCATCAATAACAGTCTTCATTTTCATTTTCTCTAGTGTATCCTAAATGTGTAACTTGGATTTCACAAGCCACATAATTCATTTCTGTGATAGCTCAATAGTTGAAGGCCTAGGAACTCCAGCATCCCCATGGTATTAGAAGTTTGTGTATAATAGATGTGTGTCTTTATTAACCAACAGCAGAAAAACCATTTTGATTTGCAGCCTTAAAAAATGCAATGTTTTATCCAAAGTTTAAACTTACTAGCAAATGAGATCTTGTGAAATCAATAGAGTGATATAGTAGAAAATTAAACTTTTTTCATAGCTGTTAGAACATTATTTCCCAAATTGACATCTATGGAAAACTTTCTAGGAGTGGTTATTAGATGTTAACATATTCCATGAACACATTAAGTATGGAAAGTACTGGGTTAGAGCCATGAATTTTAACTTTTGGTTTTCTCAGAATCTTGATGTTAATGTTCATTGTGAATTTCTAAGAAAGAAACGTGTAAAGTATTTCCCAAGCTTGTTTGACCACAAAATGCTGTTTTAAGGTGGGGCTACTAATACATTCTGGAACAGTATTCCATAGAAAAAAAACTGTTGTGTTCTGTGGCAGATGGGATACTCAGAACCACTAGAAGATACGTGCTGTCTTCTGCCTGCAGATGAGACTCCCTCAGATAATGCATTAAGTGCTCATTTTTAAGTCAGGAAAAGTGGTAGTTTGGGTCTAAGCACTTGGAATAAGATGCTGTTAGATGAGGAGATGAAAACACGTGTGATGGATCAGCTGTGTAGTGAAAAGAAGATTTTGGTGTGTGACAGACCTAGGTTTGAGTCCCGACATCATCGCTAAGTAAGCAGCTGTGTACCTTAGGCAAGGCCTTATCAATCTTAGTTTCCTCAGCCTATAAAAAAGTTCGTCATCTGTATCTTGCTGTATTTTGCGAGGTCAGTAATAATCATTAATAAAATGTTAGCATATGGCATTGCTTGTGAGAATTTCATTATTTTAATTTGGAATTGAAATTTTCTTCTGATCTTTGTAGAATCTGGAGGTGACCTGGATATTGTCGTGACCTCAAATAAAGAAGTAAAAGTTGCTGCCATCCGAGATGCCTTCCAGGAGGTCTTTGGCTTAGCTGTGGTCATAGGGGAAGCTGGACAGTCCAATATTGCCCCACAGCCAGTGGGCTATGCGGCTGGACTAAAAGTGAGTAATACAACACCTTTTTTCAGCATAAAGAAACTGGCAGTTAATTTTTTCATAATTCCGATAATCTTTTGCTCTTTATGGAGCTAATGGGTTTTTACATTCTGAGGTATTGATCATCCTGGTTTTTATTTAGACAACTGTTGTGTAATGAAGATACAGTGGAGTTTGAATTTAAAGAAACTCAGGGTAGGTTTTGATGCTTGGGCAGGGGAGGAAACAACTTGCAGAGAACACAGAGAGAGTAGTTAGTCCCAAAAGAAATCTTAACCTAGTGCTAACCTTTAAGTCCTACTGAACTTAAAAATTTTGTACTGAAATTACAGTACCTTTAGAATTCTCTAAGCTTTTTATTACTGTCACTATTAATAATACTTTACACTTACGTATTTCTTCATGGTTTTGGGGACTCTAACATATTTGAAAGTTTCAGAGTAGTAATGGAGTTCCAGTAGGCAGGTTCTAGATTGGCCCTTTTAAGTCTCCCTTTTCTCTTGTACTTGGTGAGGGGACTCAGCATTCATCCGGAAAGCTTTCTCTTGCTTTCTTGCTTTGATTCTTCCCCTTCTCCATCCTTTTAATTCCCTTGCCTTAAGGACCTGACTGCCTGGCACCTTATAGGTATGTATAATACCTATATATAACCAGAGTTTGCCAAGGTCTCTTTTAATAGAGACCTATTAAATATTATCAATAATAACATCAATAGGAAGAGGCTTCCTTAGTTTTTCCGTAGTGAGAGAAGAGGATCTTCTGATCAAGTCTGTAGATAATAAATTCTCCATAACAGGGACAGATGATAGGGTAACTTATTTTAAAGAGAAATTTCATACAACCACATACACCACCACTTCAATATTACAGTTTGTCTTCTGGCCTGTTACCATTAAAAAACTTGTCACACATCTGCATGAAACCAGTTCCATTCCCAGTGAACTAGGTCTGGTCCCCTCAAGCCAGTGAAGGGTAAAGTTCCAAGAATCCTGTCCTCTCATACATTTTTTTACCACCAGCATATAGACATGCAAGAACAAATGAACAGTGAACGGGTCATCAGCATACAAATATTTCTCCCACTTAAAAAAGCAAACGAAAGAAATTTTGAACAATTTTTTTTTAACCTCCTCTCCTCATCATCTACCACCTTAATTTTTTTGCTGCTTTTTGCAGCAAAACTCCTCCAAAGAATTGTCAACATCTTATCTCTAATTGTTCCCTTCATATTCTCTTACACCCGGCCCCGTCAGGCACTTAGCCTGACTCCCCAGAGAATGCTGGGCAGGTCAGCAGTGTTCCCCATCTTGTTTTGCCTGTCACTGGCTTTTGAGACAGTTGTTATTCTTTAATGTTTCTTTCACTTGACTTCTGAAGTGCCATACTTTTGTTTTTTTCCTTGCCTCACTATTTGCTCACTCCCCTGTGCCTCCTTTGCTGGTTCCGCCTAATGATCTTGTCTTTACATTCCCTCCCTCGTGAGTTGATAGTGTCTGATGGCTTTAAATACCATCTGTGTGTGGACAGTTTCAAGTTTCTATCTCCAGCACAGGCCTCTCATGTCAACTAGATTTATGTAAAAGTTGCCTCCTCAACCCCTTAACTTGAATGTCTCAAACTTAAGCATGTTTAGCATCCATCTGCTTTTCTTTCCTCCAAGCCTGCTCCTCTGGCCTTGTCCATCTCCGTTCATTGATGGCAGAACTGTCCTTCCATTTTCTCAGGTGAGAAACCTTGGAGTCACCCTTGACTCCTCTCTTTACCTATGTCCAGTTCATTAAGAAATCTTGTTCGTCCTCCACACTTGTTCACAGTGTGTCCAGCATCTGACTCTTCTCACATGCCCACCGCCACTGCAGTGTCTTGATGGAACCTTGCCATTGACTTCTACTAGGCCATCCGATTTTAGCATTATCTGAATGGGGTAACCTTGTGGCCCTCAATCCCTTCTGAACGGAGTAGCCAGGTGATCCTTTCCAGTCACAGGTCAGAGCGTGTCACTTGTGTTTCAGCACTTTATATTTTACCCATTGTAAACCCACATTCCTTACGGTGGCTTCCACGGCCCCACACAGTCTGGCTGACGTGGTGCTTGTTCCCTGTCTGGCTGCCTCTCCGGCTGGTCTTCCCCTTGCTCACTCGCGCCAGGCACTTCAGCTCCCTTCTAGCTCTTCCTACTTGACTCGCATGCCCTCGCTTAGCCTTTTCACTAGCTCTTTCTTCTCTTGGGGACATTCTCCCTCAAATGTGTACTTGGTTGGCTCTCTTAAACCTTCTTTAAGTCTTCAATCTTCCTTGCACGGCGTGGCCTGTCCTGACTGCCTGTTTAGTACTACATTCCACACTTCTGTACCAAGATCACCCTTCTGCGCCTCTGTTTTCTTTCCTGTAGTACTCAGCACCTTCTACACTCTATCATTGTGTTTTATAGTGTTTTCCCACAAGAATTAAGGTCCTCAAGAGCAGGAATTTTGGGTTGGTTCACAGATGTGAACTCTTAGATGTCCTTTAGAATGAATATGTGGCAGTTTTATCAAAATGTCTAAACTGTAAACATCAGAATTAAAAGTGTAAGGGTATGTTTTTAAAATTAATCATTTATTTCCTCAAGTTAGCAGTCTAATACAGAAAACATTTTCATTGTAGGATCTGCTTCCAGTTTTGGTTTAACACCCTATCAGTTTCATGAGAAGAATAAAGATTTTTCACTTAATAGCACTCCAGCGGCCCACCTGTTGCAGTACCTTGATCGAACCTCCACAATCAAACAGTGGTCTTCAAACTGGTCTAGAAGTACCTCTTGATACACAAAGATTTTACAAGATCTGAGGAGACCCAGAGAGTTTTAAGACACCCAGCTTCTTCAGCTTCCATATGTACTCTTGCCTAAAAATTTTCTGCCCATATGTACCTGTGATTAAGGCAACTTGTTCTCCTTTCCCATCTCCCCCTTAGGAAGCCCTGTTCTCTCCCTTTGGGAAATGAAACATACCTCTTACCCACCAAATATTCACGTGATACATTGCCTCCGAACATGAAAGACTCCTGAGTGTCATCTGAAGGGACAATTCAAAATTGTTTTTGATGTTGGGAATACAAATAACATAATGACTGGGTAAAACCCTTTTGCAAGTCATATGGTTTCCAGTTGTTTGTTCCCATCAAAACTGAAGAGGGACCAGACAGAGTTGTCAGCTGATAGGTCATTAATTTTTGATGATAAATCACCATGTGATATTTGGAATATAACTCAAAATTTTCATGGTTTTTAAAACATGTGTCTTAAATATTTTGTTATATTAAATATTATTACATAGAAGATACTTAAAATCATTAGGTGCTGCTCTTAAAAGGCTGATTGAGATTTTTTTCTAAAAGAAAAACCTCATCTTCTAGGTAATATTAATCCTTCAGTTTATGTGGTGGTTTTATTAGTGTTTGACAGATTCATTTTTGCTGTTGGTTTTTGCCCTTCAAATTCAAATATTCGGGTTTCTTTTCCATAATTTTAAATAAAAGCTTAAAATCAAAATTCATTGAAACTGATGCATGCATAGGAAAATCATTTACAAATTTATCAGCTGTTTTTTTCAGAAGCAGTAGAGGGAGCTAATGAGAAGAAAAATAATGTAGAATCCTAGAATATTAAAATTTGAACCCAGATTTTTTACTCCCCATCAGACTTTGTTTGAGGGAAAACTTAGGTTTAAGGAAATAAATCTGCCATAAGTAACATTAGGGAGCTTCTGAAACTTATGTGCCAACCGTTAATTTCATTGCAGAGCCAGTCATAGTTATGACCACTGTTTTATAACTTACTTTACCAAAGATGTAGATAATATTTATATGCAGGTAAGAAGAAGCATGGAATTTTGATTAAACCAAATCGCTTAGTATAAACTCTTAGAGTACAGGATAAGCTCTGGGGGCCTTTCTGTATCCTTCCGTTTGAGATAATTACTTCAGTGTGGCCTCAAAACTACCTAATTCTTGATCCCTTACACTTCTGAAAATAAAGTTAAAATTTTATTCTCAAAACATTGGTAGGGACTGATCTTAAAGCGTCTATTCCAAAAGATGCCACACTTAATTAACATCAGAGGAGAAGAGGCACATATAACCCCCTCTTCATTTTCCTTATGAAATACAAAGTCCTATGTTGTAGTATAGTAAAAAATGAACAAACTTAGTTTCCTGGAAACATTAAATCTAGGAATATTTTGTTGTTGTGCTTAGCTTAGATATCTTCAAAGAGTTAGGGATGAATCTCTTAAATATCCCACTAACTCCCTAATAGTTTTTACTGAATTAACATTTATTTAAACTTATTCATAATCAAAATTCAACCATAACTGATTTCCTCTTGGGAGGAAAATGATTGAGGCAAATTTACATTATCCAGTATAACATCTTATCTGTTACATTTTCTTTCAAATTCAACAGCTGCCTCCTCATTCACTGTTAGTAGATTTACATCATTCAGATTCTTAACATGAGTAATGAAAATTTTTAAGAAGGCCCTTATTTCTTCCCTTCCTCGTTTTTTCGTGTAGTATTTTCTTACTGAATGTCTCTAGGGTTAGACAGTTGTGTGTGGTACTAGAGAGGTAAGAGTGAGCAAAAATACAGTCGATATTAGTGTATCTTAATTCATATCTTCTTTCATCCTTAATCTTTATAAGCTAATGTCTTAAATTGGTTTACCCATTTTCATGCACTGGTCACCTTCTCTTCTTTATTTCTGTTGTCTCCGAAGTAAGTCCAGTTGTCTCTAGAAGTGTCTTAGCTTTTGAAATTTTCATTTGATGAGAATTGACCACTTTTTCTCATTCACTACTTACGTCTGCTGTCCATAGGAAAAAGTAGGCTAATGTATTATCCATGGTAGTTTTATTCAGAAATAGAATGCATTTTGTCTTGCATTTTGAACACTTACTGTCACTTCTCTTATGATCACTGTTTATGAAGTGATTCAGATAAAGTAGTAAATAGCAACTTTATGAAGAACTTGTAATTTTCTACCATAAGAAATGTATTGATGATTTTGAGTTATCTATTCAGTGTTCTCAGCCCCTCAGTTTTATTGCATAAATGGTAAATAAGTTTTGGTGCGATGTATACATTTGCAGTTAAATATAAATCAGCTGCCATTTTGGTGCATATTTTAAGGCTATATTTAAAGGAAGTAAGAAGCAAGAGAAAAAAAACATTCACTTTGATACAATGGCCTACCTAGATACCTGAAGGGAAAATTAATTAAAAACTACTAGGACTGAAAAAAGATTTTTATCAGTAAGATATCCCGTTGGCAGATCAACATTAAGAAGTACATAGTTTCATTTTATTAGTAATAACCAAGTAGAACATTAATATAAAAATAATCCATTTCGTAATAGCAACCAAAATAATAGTGTATGTGGGAATAACTTGGAATATGCTCTATAAACTGTTAATACTGAGGGGAACATGAATTGGACTTCTGTACTATTTACTCTTCATACTTCTGTATTTGAATGTTTACAATGGGTATATAGGTGTTCGTGTGTAAATGTATTTGTGTATTACTTGTATAACCATATTAGTATATTTAATACTGAATAATTAGAAATGGTTTCTAACCTACATGGTTGTCATTCAGGGTGCCCAGGAACGGATAGACAGCTTGCGTCGAACTGGAGTGATCCATGAAAAGCAGACTGCTGTGTCAGTAGAAAACTTCATTGCGGAATTGCTACCTGACAAGTAAGAGGCTTTTTTTTTTTTTAACATAATTACAAATTTGTTTTCTTGTAATGAGAACTCTCAAGATCTACTCTCTTAGCAATTTTCAGATATACAGTACAGTATAAAGTGTAGTCACTGTGCTGTACATTTTATCCTCTTGACTGACTTTATAACTGAAAGTTTCTTTTAACAACACCCTTCACTCGTTTTACTTGCCCCCCTGCCCACTGCCTTTCCAACCATCAGTCTGTTCTTTGTATCTGTGAGTTCATATTTTTTTATTCCGCGTAAAAGTAGGATCATACAGTATTTTTCTGTGACTTATTTCCCTTAGTATAATGCCCTGAAGGTCCATTCATATTGTTGCAAATGGCAAGATTTCCTTCTTTTTCCATGGCTGAATAATTGTGTGTGTGTGTGTCTGTACACACCACATCTTCTTTATTCATTCTTCCATTGACAGACACTTAGGTTGTTTCCATGTCTTAGTTATTGTAAATAATGCTGCAGTGAACATGGATTGGTGGGGCGGGGCGGGGGGGGCGCATATATCTCTTCAAGGTAGTGTTCTCATTTCCCTCAGATAAATACGCAGAAGTGGAATTGCTGGATCAATATGGCTCATTTAATTTTTTGAGGAACCTCCATATTGTTTTGTACCAGTTGACATTCTCATCAAAGGCTTGCTTTATCTCCATATCTTTTCCAGTACTTATTTTTTTGACTTTTTGGTAATAGCCATCCTAACAGGGTAAGGTGATGTCCCACTATGGTTTTGATTTGCATATCCCTGATGATGAGTGATGTTGAGCATCTTTTCATGTACATGTTGGTCATCTGTATGTCTTTGGGAAACTATTCAGAGCCTCTGCCCATTTTTTAATTGGATTGTTTTTTTGTTCTTGAGTTCGCGTTTTTTATCTATTTTATTTTATTTATTTATTTTTTTTTAAGATTTTTTATTTATTTGACAGAGAGAGACACAGCGAGAGAGGGAACACAAGCAAGGGGAGTGGGAGAGGGAGAAGCAGGCTCCCTGCAGAGCAGGGAGCCCGATGCGGGACTCGATGGGATCATGACCTGAGCTGAAGGCAGTCGCTTAACCAACTGAGCCACCCAGGCACCCTTTTTTATCTGTTTTAGATGTTAAACACCTTATGAGGAATGTGATTTGTGAATGTTTTCTCCCCTTTAGTAGGTTGCCTTTTCATTTTGTTGATGGTTTCCTTTGCTGTGTAGAACCTTTTTAGTTTGATGTAGTCTTACTTACTGATTTTTGCTTTTGTTGCCTTTGCTTTTGGTGTCAAATACAAAAAATTATCACCAAGACTATATCAAGCAGCTTACTCCCTCTTGTCCTCTAGGAGTTTTATGGTTTCCAGTCTTAAGTTCAAGTCTTGAATGCATTCGACTTACTTTTTGTGTATGGTGTAAGTAGTCCAATTTCCCCAGCACCATTTATTGTACAGGCTGTCCTTTTCCCATTGTATATTCCTGGCTCTTTTGTTGTAAATTAATTGACCATATGTGTGGGTTTATTCCTCAGCTCTCTATTCTTTTGGATTGATCTTTGTGTCTATTATTAGGCCAATACCATACTATTTTGATGAGCATAGCTTTGTAATATAGTTTGAAATCAAAGAGTGTGATGCTGCTTCTTTCCCAAGATGGCTTTGGCTATTCAGGGTCTTGTGGTTCCATACAAACTTTAGGGTTCTATTTCTGTGAAAAATGCCATTGGAATTTTTTTTTTTTTTT